CGATTTTTCTATTAAATTTTTAACATTCTATTTCTAAATATTCTGTGCTACATTTTAAATTATTAAACCACACTTGTTACACGCATCTTGTCTTAACTGCAGAAATAGTAATTACTAGCATAAAGTTGTACTTTTGGTTGTATTTTTATGCTTATTCTGACTAGACCAATAACATATAATTTCAACTGACTACACTTTTTGTTATTCCTTAAACAAAATTCACTATAGAATTTCCATATTATATCCACCACTATGGCGTTGCCGTCATTAAAAATGTTTTTATTGTTTTTTTTTTTTGAACATTATACTGCCGTTGTGTGTTGGATTCTACATCTGCGCCTTGTATTCGTACCTATTTTTAAAGTGAGTGTAAATCATATTACTAGCTTTGCATGTGCCTTTTTCGTTTGGTTGTTTTATTGTTGGTGCTTGCAAAAATGAGCAACGCGTCTAATGCAAAATTGTATACATGCAATAAATCCTGTGTTTCTACACTTCTGTATTTTAGTAGCTACAGATATAAAAAAAAATAAAAAAACGTATATTTTTTAATAATATTATTATTTTGAGTAAATATGTTCGATACACCATCTTAGCTTTAATAAAAAATATAGAGTAATATTTGAAAATGATTGAAAAAACAAAGAATGGAGTTTTATATTGGCGTATAACATTGTATACGGTTTAAATATTATGATACAATTGTCATAATACATATAAATATATAGTGATCGTTTTCCAAGCAATAGAAACGGGACTGAAGTCCAGTGAGTTGTATACATATACAATATCTACTAACTAAAGTATATTATATTTTTGTCTGGATTTGCAGTGCTCTTGTTATGAGAGACGTGAGATAACATATAAACAAACCGTTTGTTTGATTGACGCTTGCACGAGTAAACTGTTTATTACCAATCGCTATAGTATGGATGTTTGGCGTTCATCAATGATGATTTCTAAAATAAAATACTTTGCGCCATCTCAGCTGTTAACACTACTGATCACAAATATTCAGTCAGGTCGTTTTCGCACGATTGGGCAAACCATATTGTTAATTATAATCTAATATATACAGGGTGACCCGTTTAACATAAAGTCTTTTGGCTAAGAGGGTCTAAAAAAATGTTCGTCATGTTACGTTTATGTCCCGTTAAATATCTAATAATTTTTAAGTACAATCAAGCCGTTACTCGGGGTTCAAACCAGTTTGTGTACGGTCATCTCTTTTCTTTTGAAAATAATAACAAATTTAAAAATATATAGCGCTCAGGAAAATACTAAAAATAATAAATATTTCATAATTTTGTAGAAATAAAATAAACAAAATCGTTTTTAAAAAAAACACATAAGTATAATTGTTATTACTTTCTGAGAAAATTAGCGTCTTACGTTAAATTTATTACTCTGTATACGTTTTAATAATATCTAAATACCTAAATTTTAGTATTTTCTAATGATTAAACCATTTCTTTGTTATTTTTTGACTTCAGCGTTGAACGATTATGTTATCTCAAAATAAAATACAAACAACGCGATCGGTCCAAGAAAATTGTTTGAATTAGGTACTATACAATAATATTTTCATTTGAAAAAGCAGATAAATCTATTACATTATAATATATAGTGGAAATTGCTTCGGGGAAAACTGTACACTATCGAATGTGAGGTAACGCAATCTTTTTCAAAACTAGTTATTTAACTATCAATTTATAAACATTACGAGAAAATTGCAATTACCAATCTTATAAATAAAATCATTGGCGACCGTGTGAATAGTAATGGATGGGTCAAGTTCTAGAAAGAATCATTTCTTCGACACAACATTTTTAAAATAAGGTTAACGGTTTGATCGTGATTTGGCTTAGCATTTGATTGGAAAACAAAATGATTTGATAGTTTTATCCGTTAGCTCCAGCATATGTTTAATTTTGATAACAATTTATAAATTATAATCAAGATGTGTAAAACAATACGTTGTATAAGTGTTTTTACTACATTACTTGATTGAAATGATTTTCTCACCTACTTGCTTACATTATAAAGATTTAAAAACGCATTTGGGATTTATATTATGCTAGCAAGAGTGTCTGCTCTGGTATTCTCAACAACATTATAAACAAAGCAGACATAAAAACGTCAAAAGACAACCTTTGTTCATAGCCGTAGACTATGATGTTTTTAAGATTATAAGTAGGGCTGAAATTTCAAAGTACTTTGCATTGTTTTCCAAATCTAGCTTGCGATGCTCGTTTTTTGTTACAAATCTGTTTCATGTACTTTTTGACAACAAGAAATAGTATTTTGCATTTTTTTTTAAATTTGTTGGTTTTAAAGTATTTTTTTTAAATTTTTTAGACCATTTTGTAGATTTTGAGACATTAAAATTCGAATTTTAAAACTGTAATTTAAGATTTTCACATGCTAACAAGATTTACTATAGTAATTTTTCGAACGTATCCGTATAATGTCAAAACCCAGATAACTTTTTTAAAATATATTTTTGTTCAAAACTCTTCATTGATAAGTTATCTCTATATAAGTTTCAGTATATTAGTATTATATACTTGTCATTTATCGAAAATAAAAAAAAAATGTTATTTTGAATTTTTGTGGGTTTTTTTTTATTTTGGAGGAGTTATAGGCTTTATTTTAAGTCAAAAACGAAAAGTGCCGAAAATACAACCCACGCGACACGCAATTCCTTCTATGTAAAACTTGGTATCGTAAGCATTCAAAATTTATTGAATACCTGTAATGGATGTAGGAATGCAAAATAATAATTAAAAATACAGTGGCTGCATATTTAGCATTACTATGCGTTATAATATTGATAAAAGTAAAAAATGATCTTAAAACGATAGGAAATGTCATAATGCCAACAACTGTGAGTGACTTTTTTTAAAATTATTAATAATAATTACTGTAACATAGATTTAAAGTAACATAAAATCATTTTTTTTTCAATATTTCTTGAAAAAAAATTGCCTGTAATATTTTTTATAGCAGAATAATTAAACAAAACACATTATATATTGGTTTGGTCAATTAATATTAATATAAATAACAAAAAAATATGCAAATTGTTTGTCTATAAGCTAACACGCATGGTTTAATATGCTTTAACCCATCTAATATGCATAATATTATGGAGAATGCAATCTGGTTAATGGATTTCGTTTGAAGTGAAATGTGGACATTTAGAGGGTCATAAATATCGCATACACTCCACATAAACATGCAAATATACAATTGCGGGCGGCACTGCGTTTATAATAAAAGCAAAATGTGCAATAACAGCGTTGTATAATTATTATTTTGTTATACGATTGTGGTGGTTTACTGTTTGAACAACGCGGGTCAAACTAATATAGCTAACAAATAATAGTCGATTTATGTTAACGGCTCTCTACAAATGCAAATTTTTACATAATCAGTTTGTTGGGAAATGTGAAAAAGAGCGATGGCAAAATGCTCAATACTTCTCTCACCTTTGCGATCTGCCGAACCTCCGACATTCGCAATCCTTAGACCGGCCGGACTCAAATCAATATACGGTCACCCAAAATAGACGTAGTTAAATACACGGGTACTTAATTGACCGTGTAAGTCTGTCCGTTGCTGTAACGTTGCCAATTTGAACGCTTCGAAATTAATTTTGCACGTGGACGGGCCACGGTGATATATCTATCATTCTATTGGTCCACGTCTTAAACGGGATAACAGCCTGAAAGCTGTATCAAAGATGACGTTGGCTTTTTTACGTAGACAACACAACTTACATCCGTTCATTGATCAAATAGAATGTATGATACTGCGCGCGTGTGGATTTAAAATAATATGATGTAGTGTTTCAAACATAGCTTATACAATAATAAATGGTGACGGTAGATACGAGTAACAAATAAAAAATACCTATAATACATAAAGAACGAATATTAACTAGCTCGAGGAGTTCTAAAAAAATTGGGATCGGTTATGATGTATCTGAGAGAATGGTAGAATTCAAGAAAAATACGGCAAGTGGAATAAAGTGCGGTCGGATAAGTCCATATGCGTGGCAACAGGTGTGCCAAGTAAAAAAAAAAATGCCTCGTTTATGATGAAAGGAAATGAAAGTAGTGGAAAAATAAGAGTGCTGAGATAAATGTGTGTTAGTGGCTCACACTCGTTTTGATGAGGGATGTCGAAAAACTTTTTTAAAAGGCATAAACCCACTACCGCAACAGGGTATCAACTGTACTTTTTTTTGCGTAGTAACTAAAAAGACTGGAGTTATTCGAATCGATCATTTAGAAGGTAGGTTGTTGAAGTTGCAGTAAAAATAAGACAGAATTTACAGTAAACATGAATTGTAAAGGTAGAAAAATCCAGTAAATATAAATATAAAAGCCAAGATAAGCAAAATAAACGGGTGCATGTATTATTATTAGTCACGGACAGAACGTTGAGACACAGAGATGAATGGCTAAAAAGTGGACTCGACCTCGCTTGCATGAAAGACGGCACCGTTATTTAGTCTTGCCGAAGAATTTCTAGAAAGTTAACAATTAGATCCAATATTAAAATAATTGTTTATAGTTTTTGGCACAAAAGAAAAGAGTTTTTAACGTTTTTGGTGAATTTATTTGCGGCTTACAAGCGAGCCAAAGGCTATAGAGTAAAGTCATTATGAAAGAAGTTTAAATCGTTAGAACGACGGTGTTTTTATTGTGCGGGTTATATAAGGCGGCTGAATATACTGCGTTGGCACTTTGAACGTGCATTTGAACCACGCATATAGTTACGTTCTAAGGATGTCTGATGGCCGTTTTGCAGTTAAAGAATAAGTAAACTTGATTGCTATTATTACTTTTCTATAGGCAGCAACAATAGAACAAGAGTTTAGCACACGGGGAAATTAGTACCATAAGACGGTTGTAGTAGTAGTAAATTAATATCACATTATAGTAAAAAGCGATAATTATTCGAATACTGTGAAAGCTTGTGGTCATGCTTACCCGAGAGTGGTCATGGTGACGATGGTGTACCAAAACGCGGCCGGTATGGACGTAAAATTGGTGCCTTCCACGTTCTTCTCGGCGTAGAACATGACCGTGGCGAATATGATGATGGCCATGGCCAGTGAGAACACCAAAAACCCTAGCTCGGAGGCGCACGACTTGAGCGTGTAGCCGAGTATGCGGAGTCCTTGCGAGTGCCTAGAGAACTTAAATATTCGGAAGACGCGGAACACCCTGAGTGTGACGAACGCACCGGACACGTCGTCGTTATCGGTGACACCCAGTCCGATGTAGTACGGCAGTATGGCTACAACGTCTATAATGGACATGACGCTGCGCATAAACTTGCACCGGTCCGGGGCGGCATACAGCCGGAGCAGGTACTCGGTGGTAAATATCATCACGCACGCCGTGTCTAGGCAAAAGAACACGATCTTGTAGCGTTCTCCGCAAGGCAGTGTGCCCACTCGACCGGGCCGATGGCCGCACGGCACCGTTTCTACGACGTTGGCCATGACGGAGACGGCGATAAAGAACCCGGTGACGTAGTAGAACACGAGGGCGGCGGTGGACGTGTGCGGGTTTCCGAATGCCCGCCACATCTTCTGTCTCAAGTTGGTGAGCTGCGGCAGATTCTGGTCGCTGTTTTCCGAGAGCTTGTCGTCCATCAGCCTTTCAGCGTTCTCCCGCTTCCTGTCCCGGTAGTCCTCGTAACAACAGTCTCCGATCACGTCGGGCAGTATACCGAAGAACGCCAGTTCCTCGTCGTAACTGGTCAAGCACTCGTGCTTGGGATAATGCAACTTGCCGGTTCGATAGTAGTTGAGTATGTGCCGGAATATGTCCGGGTCCCGGTCGAAGAAGTACTCTCTGCAATCTTCGTCGTAGAAGAACTCGCGTTCGTTGGAGCCTAACAATGTGTCCGGGTACTTTTCTACCGTGTTCCGCCACGTCTCGAACCGACGTCCCGACACGTTGATCAGCAGCTTCTCGTCGTCGATTTTCCGCTGATCTTTCGGCACCGGCGCCGGCGGCAGTGGGTGCGTGGCGATCGGCACCCAACCGATGGCGGCCGCTCGGGCGAACGGTAGCCAAGCGGCCACCGAGGCCATGCTGCGCGGAGTAATGACCGGGGTATCACCGTCGACGACGCCGTCGGTCCACGCGTCTCCGTGCGTACTGCGGTGTCATCGTGCCCGCGACGCCTGGCCGCCCCGCTGTTCTCGATGAGCGGCTCGTGTCGTAGAACCACGAAGACCACGACGGCAACGATTGGCGGCTGTTCACATCACCCGGTGGACGACGGGTCCACAGCCGGGGTGGTCTCGTCGAAAACGGGTCCGGGGTCGGTCGCACGCGAGCAAAAAACGCACACGCACACCGGGTTGTTACACTCAGTACGGCCACTCGGCACGCAGACAGCGAGCGTAAATGAAAGCACACGCGCACCGTGGCCGCCTGGCATTCGATAACAACAGCGAAACGCACCCGGCGTACGCGCTTTAAGCTGGTACACTGAAGTGACGACTCAGGCGGAGTACGAGAGAGGCCGCGTATGTGTGTGTGTGCGGCGACCGTCGACGGACCCGACTCGCCCGCCGTAGTGAGTTTAATTTTTTTTGATTTTATTTTTATTTTTATCAAAACGCCGCCAAGCGCGCGCGAGTTACGGGACCGGGCGATACGCGCTAACGACGACTTACGAAACGTTTTGCGCTTGCGCCGCCGATCGATTTACAACAGCCCCGATGGTGGCGGTCGTCGGACGTTTTTATATATTTTTATTTTCCCGCCGGCACACGCTCTCACCTACACGCCCAGACATACATTTACAGGACTTACGAGGGAATACCGTCGCCGCCGCCCGTTCCCTAGGCAACCATCACGGCGTTACGTCGTGACGTACACCACGGCCGCCGCCGCCGCCGTCGTATAGGTGTACGTTCCGCGACCTGATCACATCACCCGGTGGTGTACGACGACGATTCCGCCGCTGTGTACATATAACACACTATGAGCTCACAGCTGGCACATCCCGCGGCCACCGCCACCACCGGAAGCCGGTAGTGCCGTCGGTGTACTCCCGCCTAATTTCGACCAACTCCTGGCCACTGTTGGCTATATAAACTTGTAAATTTATATATATATATATATATATGTTGTAATAGTATATAATATATAATATATAATACATATCTAGTATCTAGCGTTTCAATAATCAGCTATTGGTTGACACGTCTGGTAAGACGTTTGTGTGCAATTGCATTTATTTGTATATATAACAAGATAGTCTAGCACAGCATTAGATTGAAAACGTTTTGATCGCACATCAAGTGACAAGATACAACAAGCGCAGCTGTGACAGTAGTAATGGGTATAAAACAAATCAGGTAGGATGTATCCCGGAACAGCTGCAAGTTTTTAACTTAAATAAGTTGCCTGTAAATCGGAAGCAACAAAACCACAAACATTTTATTAAATGGACCGCGAGTGAAAACCAAATTATTGTATCACGTGAAGTGCGAAAAAAACAGAGTTAAGTTTGGAGGAAGTAGTCTGTAAACAGTTCCCTTCCAGGTTAGCGATTATTTGAGGGAAAAAAAAGGTTAGAATATTTTTTTCCATATTATTCGCCTGAATATTAATGTATTTTTTCTTGTGCTGCGGTACGATTTTTATTATTTTCAAAATAAAAACTACCCATCATTTCATTTAATGGGTTTTTATCGGCCGTTTGAATCTGACTTTATTTATGCGACGTCAAGCGAGTTTTTTCAATTTAAAATACTGTTTTTATCATCCATTGCCAACCTATGGATCCATGCATATAATGCAAACATTCTCTGCTATTTAATTGGCAATACTCTATACCTACAGTCTATACGTTTTTTTCTGTTATCTTTCTATGAGGTCGAGAGTATAGTAGACTATCACACAAATAAGATCTCTGTAAGCTTCACGCAGTTAAAACTATGATATAATACTTATTATTAATGAATAATTAAAAACTCCTTCTCCCCTAAGAGGAAATTTAATTAAAAAAAATTAAATTAAAAACTTTGGACTTTAATTAAATATTTAGTTAGAGCATGCATAAGCTTATTAAGCATCGTTCGAAACTTAAAATGAACCGTATTTAAGTATAACCGCTAAATTTAAAATGTATTTGTGGGCCATATTCTCAGCAATAAGTTTAAAAGATTTAATACAGATTATAATAATTAGTATGTTATACGCAGTCTATTAGAAAAATTAAATTTATTTAAAGATATAATTTTAAACTTTCTTACCACTCGTATTATTCATAGTATCAAATTTTACCTGTTGATAATTAAAAAAAAAATACCAATTCTAGTTGTTATTAGTTGTATTCATATCTCTGTTGATAACATACAATTGCTTGATATAAAATTGAAAAGAGGTATAGATAGATTCACAGCGATTGTTGAGAAACTAGCAACTTTATTTTGAATATTTAAAACGGCTTATTTATATATTATTAAAAATATAACAATTATTTCAAATTTGCCGTAAATAAATTACGAAACCAAGCACAATATAAACCGGCACAGTAAGAATATATTATACGAAGTGGGTAATAGTAGTAATAGTATAAAGTGAACAAGGGAGGTGGTCCATTGTTCTCAGATACATATACAAATATCGATAAAAGCATTATACCTAATGATGTCAATGTTGTGCTTAAAAATTAATTTTTAGTGTTAGGGTGGACATGATGAGGGTTCATCGTTTGTCTATAAAAATGTATTACCATTGTTACCCATATATTGTTATAAACATCATAATGAAAATGTTTTCAATACCTGTTGACTGTTGATTCACTCATACATAGCACTCTGGAAATTGACTACGGTTAAAGTGTAATTTTCCCATTTTTGGGGGGTTTTTCCTTATTAAAAAAATAGTTTAACTAAAGATTTTTGTAGAGTCTGTAGATGATAGAATTGTACATGTTATAGTTTCATTCTATAACTGGGTCATTCCACGTGAAATCACCTAATGGGTGAGCGACTATACTCTAAAAATGTTTGAAATTGTTATCATACATTCTTTATAGGTCCTTAATAACAAAAAAATTTTAAAAAAATGTTTTAATTTTTTTTTGGACCTAGGTAGGTTAATTTAAAAAAAAAAAAGATCCAAAAACACCTCATGTTCCCGACTCTGTAATTTAACCGCCGATAGTGGTATAAACATGAAACCTGCACAGTTAAAATTCTAATTAAGTGTACTTTAACTATATTTTAAGAAAATATATTTTTTTATTTTTTAACCCTAGAAATTTTTTAAATTTTTTTTGAATTTCTCAAAAACTTTTTTGGGGGTGAAAAAGTTAAAAATTGAAAACAAATATTTTGTTTATATAAAATTTAAGTTATGTTCTTATGATCCATATCATCTTTGAACCAATAAAGTTTTTTGTTTGCTATTAATTTACGGCTTCAAACATGGGTATTTTGCTGAAAACTACCTACTTTAATGACCCACAACACAAAAGTGACTGAACGAAAATTTTCCAAATTTATGCAATACTTACTTAGAAATGAGTAGAACATCTGGTAAAAGTTTGGTGATGGAGAAATTATTTTGACACCAGAAATAAGGTTTAAATTTTTTTTGTTGAATTTTTCAAAAACTTTTTTTGAGGTTAAAAAATAAATTTCTTTAAAAAACTGTTTTTATTTTATAAAATTCAAGCTTTTAATGTTACGCAAATGTACTGTAGACCTCAGACGTTATATTATATAGGTAAACTCAAAATTCGAGTACAACAATAATAATGATAATACTGAATATTAATAGGTATTGATTTATTTCGGGGGAAACAATAGTAGTTAATAACGAGTAATTTCCCAACGTACGGTGGGTTGTGCGCGTGATAGACACAAAGACGGTAAAATATAATGAATGACAGCGGTGCATTATATTCGCAATGGGCTTGTACACGTATTGGCAGTTTATTATACCTATTATTAAGTTCCCCGCTGCGACAAACGCATGGAAAATTCGTATCTCGACATTAAACCCGCTCGCAGTGGCTTTACCGTTTCCTAGTCGAGGGTTGCTGAGTAGTACAGTGGTAAATGAAAGCATTCCGATGGAGATGAAAAAACCGTTAAAATAACAGCTATAACGGTTTCAAGTGGTTTTGCACAACAATAGCTCAACATGTAATATCAATACCGCGGAGCTATGCGACATGGGACAATAATTTCCCACCTAGAATGGTTTTTTTAACAAACGCAAATTTAACGACTATTTAAATACAAAATGTCCCGACCACCGACCCTTTGCAGGTTAAATTTTTAAAAATGCAGTAGTTATTATGTTCTCATTTAATGAAAATATCGATTGACGCGCAGGTTCTATGATGAGTGTACGGATATGATACTGGAAATTCGCTTCGCTTTGTTGACTAACGATAATATTATTGTACTTTGTTAACTCTATATTGTCATGTCGACCAAAGAGTATTGCAGCACTAACGTATCTGTTGTCGAGACAACACAATACGACAGTGTCGTCAAACAGAAGCGCTTTACTAATTAATTGGAGGAGGTGCTGAGTTGCTGTTGTCACTGCCATTTATTGTTTGCCTTTTCCGGTTCGGTGCGCGCACCACGAACAGCTTATAGAATTTTTGATCGATTGGCGCTGTGCGAATGCGTTTATTCGGATTAATTAATTAAACCCTTTTAATCGTCCACAATGCGACATGACCATTTTTTTTGTGTCGGCCACGTTTATGAATAAGGCACGTACTAACCCGTTTCGTGCTGTACCCATGTGTCCGTTTACACACGTCCCGGATTAAAATGTATTAATTCTTTTAAATAATATGTTTTCCATTTTTTCATGAACCTTTTTTTTGTGTGTGTGCAGTATTTGACCCGTAGATGAATCACTGTCAGTATCACATCGAAGCTTTACGTACCGGCAATCAATCTCACAACTAATGAGCTTTACGTGCAGCTTTGACGTGGTCCAAACTCAAACTCATTCCCATCTCTGCACACCTTAGAACGAACAAAATGCTAGTACCCATCGGGCGTCTGGTCTCTATTTAAAAAAACACAACAGGTTTCCGTAGTACGTTGAATCAAAATAATAATTTTCATATAAAATTTAATTGTGCTTTTATTAGTACAGTAATGAGGATACTTCGTAGGAAGTTAATTTTTTATGTCGTAGGATTTATTTACAATTTTTTTAAATATTTTTGTCATTGATTGATTTACAAACCCACTTTGGTGGCCCTTGGACAACAGTATCACACAACGTACATCAGGAGGTATTTTCATTCAGCGTTTCTTTTTATTTTTATTGAAATAATTGAAATCAGAGATAAGGGGTTTTTTAGAAAATGAATAAAAATCAAGTGACAAGAAAATTTATAAACAATAAACACGACGAGCATATCACAGGTACTTACTGTGTATAACATTGTTTTCTAAATAAAAAATGTCTAAACTTTATCATACTACAGACAAAAATGGATACCTACTTTAAAAATTAAAAATTTGTTTTACATAATAAAACAATATG